TTTGTTTGCTTTTTTGGTTTTCTTGGAGATAAACAAGTTGACTTTCCAGTATACTTGGAAATATTAACGAGCAGCAGTAGCCAAGAAATCCTTGGGGGAACAGAGGGCCCAAGAGACAGGTGTAAATGTAGACATTTCAAAGCCTGGATATTTAAGGCAGTGTTGAACAGACACACAGAGCAGCAGAAATGGAGAGAACAAAATGTCAACATACTGAAGCAGAAAACCTAGAATTATACCAAAGCACACATAGAGCTTAAATTATGAAAAAGACAGCAAATCACTGAGGAAAAGATGGAAATTAAGGAACAGGAGAACCATTTGGAAAAAAAGGTAAAATTGGAACAGTATCTTAGATCATCACCTGCATAATGTTACAAAAGTAATGAAGGCTGCTGTGAAGCTGAGTCTGTGGCTCGTGTCTGTAATCCCACCTGATCATGCAGTGAGATGGGAGGCTCGTGGGAAAAGAGTTAGCAAAATCCCACCTCAACAGCAACAACCACAAAACTGGGTGTGTTGGGGCATTTCCATAATCCAGTTATGTTGGAACTCCCTTAGGTAAGAAGACCCTGGACCATTCCAAGCTGGCCTCAGGCAAAAATAAGTAAATAAACAAACAAAAACTTCCATAAGACCCTGTCAGAAAAATAACTAAAGCAAAAACAGCTGGAGGCATGACCTCAAGTAGTACAGCACCTGCCTACCAAGTGCAAAGCCCTGAGTTCAAACTCCAGTATAACCAGAAAAGAAAAGAGAAAGCAGCTCTGGAAAGATCCATTATTTTACAGTCGAGATGCACAGAATCTTTCTAATTTTCATGACTCAAAATCAAGAAGCAATAAATAAAAAGTCATACAGTCAGCTTTGTAAACTGTAAATTTCTATCTAGAATAAAATAACCATAAGGTCAAGAGGCAAACAAACAAGTTGGAAAATAACCTGAGTCAAAATTGGGCAAAAGATACACTCAGTTCACAAAAAAGCAAATGCAGACCACTACCAGTGGCTCTCGCGCCCACTATTCTTAACTATTTGGGAGACTGAGATCAAGAAGATCTCAGTTCCTGGCCAGTCAGGCAAATAGTTCAAGAGACCCCATCTCTAAAACAACCTTGAGCAAAATGGACTGCAGGTACAGTTCGCAACCCCTGTCCTGGGGGTGGGGATGGCAAATGCTAATAGCCCTGAAACATATGAAAGTGTATTCTATCCCACTAACAGTAAAATTAATTGAAACTATATATCTAGATCTAGATATATAGATATAATTCTCACAAAGATAGTTGGCAAAAACCTAAATGTTTGACAATGAACTCTGTTGCTAAGACTAGAAAAAATACAGAATGTCACAGATTCTGAAGAGGGTAAATCACCATATCAAATAAAATTAGAGAACTACTCATGTATTTGATCTTCCAGGACAGTAATCTAACAATATGCATTCATGAATGTGAGGTAACAGATGAGAGCATTATCTGCATTATTATTAATAGATGAGTGGAGCAACTTTGATAATTGGCCTCTGTCTGCCAAAAGCAAGTAAAATCACTCACAATGTTGAATGGATTTCAGACCTAACTGGAAGACAGAGAGATTTGCAGCCCTTTATTCTAAACCCCTACTCAGACCTGTCTACCCCTGCATGAGAGAACCGTTATAGTCCTGGTCCCTTCCATGCCCGTGTGGGTAATTAAATCATGCCTTCATCTTCAAAGTGAGAGCCTGAGAGAAGCCGGGATGATGCTCTATTGATATGAGAATGCTTTCTTGACAACAAGAAAATGCCAGTAATTAAAAATTATAATCTACCTTTAACTTCAAAAAGATTTTAATTTTTACCCTTTTTGTTTGTTGCGTCAAGGCCTCACTGTGCAGTCCTAGTGTTAGCAGCAATGATGCAGTCTCTGATCAGATTTCCAAATTCTTTGTGTCCCATGTGGAAGAATCCATGGCAGGACACATGGGTGTAAATGGAGTTTAAGTTAGGGAAGGGAATTACAAAAGGGGGTGTGGTGGGACCAGGTGGAAGCTACAAGCTGAGAGCGTCCTTCTCTTTTCTGGATACTTTCAAAACTTAGGTTAACCTATGGGAAGGAAGAACCTGGTGATTCTTGAGCAATAATTCATGACTGGGGAGGGACATAGGTGGTCCCTGGGCAGGTGAAGCTGGTTGCAGTTGTCCCTGATCCAGGGTATGAATAGCCTACACACACTTGGAACTGAAGTGCTTGGTGTTTGGTTTGGTTTTGGCTGTACTAGACTTTGAACTCAGGGCCTCATGCTTGCTAGGCAAACAATCTACTGCTTGAGCCACTCTACCAGTTACACTTGCAACTGAAAAGAAGGCTCGGAAAAAAAAGGAATGTCCAACCTGAAATACAATATCAAGTCATATATGTTCTAAGCTTCCCAAACTTTCCCTAATTCCAGGTACCTGTGTAACTCAGGCTGGTCTTGAACTCATAATCTTCCTCCCTCAGTCTTGCAAGGGTTGCACTGTTGCAATGACAGAGTATTTCTGTATCCTTATTCCAATAGTGGGTGTACAAATCTATGCATGTGATAAAATGCAACTTCTTCTGTGTCTATGATTATTACAAAATTACAACTTTTTTTTTTCAAAGCCCAGCAAATCTCAAACAAGAGTAACTAAAAGTAAAAAATAAAAATTATGCTCAGGCATATCATAATCAAACTGTTGAAATCAAAGGTAAAACATCTCAAAGTTAGAGATGAATGAATACAGATGAGTAACCATGTTTACCAAACACAGTGTTAGGTGCTTTTACCTATGTCTTCTTACCCTCACAAATACTATCATTTTAAGTACTGTCATTTCAACTTTCAAGACAAGAGAGCTAATGCAGCAAGAGCCCAAGGGGCTTAAAGGCTTAAATCCATCCCTTACTGTAGGGAATCCAGGCATTTTATTTTTACATCAGAGCATTCTTACTGCATCATCCCAAACAATCAAAGACATATCGTATCCACTGAAATGTATTCTTTTCCAGTATAAAGTCTGTGGCTATGATTTGCTACTCTACTACAGAATTTATCATTTCTATTTAAATAAAGAAATCACCTTGTTAAATCTAATTTGCAACAATTAAGGCATATTAGGTAACAAACAACAACTGACTCAGGCTAATTGAAGTAAAACAAAACTTTATTGAACATTTAGTGGGGATGTTTTGTTAATTAAGGTAACAGTTGAAACAATCGGGAATTTCCAAAAAGAAGAATTGAAACAAGACCAGCCTCTGAGGTTCATAGACCTTAGAATTGAACTCACACTAACTCCCACTACCTCTATCTCTTCTAACTTTCCAAGCTTTCAGTATAGATGTACCCAGGATGCCTGAATGTTTACCCCCAAGTCAAGGATAAAAATCCAATTAAGCATGGATCTCACTTATCTGGTCTGACTCACTTTTCCCCACAGATGGGTAAGAAAGTGGGACTTTTATCAGAGAAGGAAAGAAAAAGTACTTCACCGATAAAAACAAAAGCAAGTACTACCCACTTCTTGGCTCCTATGAGCTGTGTGCACACAGGTGCACATGCCCCTCTTACACAGAGGTATCCACAGAGTAGGATAGAATATGTAATAATTAAATATGTTCCAAGATAAATATAGGTATATGTAGGAGTCCCAATATCATCATGCAGTTTCAAGCTTTAGTGATTTTAGAAGTTATAAAAACTACATTTTACAGAGAACATCATTTGAAAGTTTAACTTTCGATTTCCCTTCTCCTACATAATACTTTTTAAATTTTCATTTTCTTGTCACTTTGAGCAGAGCAAACAGAAATTAAGATTTATCTTTGAAAATATACAAAATTAAGTGTAATTGATATGTAAATAATTAAACATGCAAATGATATTTTCCAAAAATGGTCTTTTTTATACTTCTAAAGTTATTAAGCTTAAAACTGCATGTGGTTTGGGGAATACCTGTATATACAAATATTTATCTCAGATGATTCATTTATTACATGTTCTATCTTTCCCAGTGTGCCTGTGTGAGAGCAATCTGTGCATCTACATGTGCAGAGTCTCAGAGAAGCCAAGGGGTGGGTTTTAGTTATTTTTATTTTCATCCATGCAGTACTTTTTTCATTTCTCAATAATAAGCCTGTCTTCCAACCAAATAATATACAGATAACTATATTAAGATATGGGGAAAAGTCTGCATTCATTTATAGAAAAAGATGTATAAAAATATATTAAACTGTTAGTGAAGAATGCACTGAGGGAAATGAGTGGGGTATGCAGAGGAGAAGGCACATTACAATCTGTGTGATTTAAATTCCATATTGTTTACATTTTTGCATCAAGCCTGCATTCATGAATTTTATATGTGGGAAGCAATAAAATTGAATAAAGTACAGGGCAATCTTTGGGCCCTTATCTGGGTAACATTATGAGGCAGATGTTCAAGCCTACAATAAGTTGAAGATAGAGACTTGAGAAGATGGAAATAGTACTCAAAGTGAGATGTGAAATTGGAGTATCCTTGTAAGTTCTTTGTTATCAGTATTCTACTCCCCAAAATTCCTGCTACGGCACTGTCCATCTCTTGTCCTACTGGTGACATCTTTAGGAATGAAAAGTTTGTTTCCTATAGGACCAAGTTCCTTCTACCTATACTGGTCCATTCTTTAAAGGCAGTCATATAGGTACCTTAGTGTGTCCTGATAACCTAAAACTCTTAATTGTAACAAGAAAGTCTTTCCACAGAACTCCGAAGAGTGGGAAGCAATAAAATTGAATAAAGTACAGGGCAATCTTTGGGCCCTTATCTGGGTAACATTATGAGGCAGGTGTTCAAGCCTACAATAAATTGGCTCTTGTGGAAACTTTCTTCAGAGCCAGGCACCACATTTTTCCTGGGTGTTAGGAGCAGCAACAAAGTGTGTATTATGGCAGGTTGGGGAAATTCAAGTTCTTCTATGGAGTCTGGTCTGATTCTCTCTTTTAGTGGCTAAAAATGCTTATGTTGATAGGGATTTGCTCATGTCACAGAGCTTTTCCTTCATAGATCTATATTTCTTTGACTTTATGTTCATCTTCTTCCTCCTCTTCCTCTTTGCTTTCTTTTTCTTGTCCTTGAGGCAGGCCAAGGCCTCATGGAAAGCATGGCAGCTAAATCCCTCCTTGATCCCATGCTCCACATGATACTGAAGGGTCTCTAAGTTGGGGAAGACCCGGCAGCAGGCCATGCACCTGTAGCCATGGTCCAGTGCCACCAACCATTCAGGTGTTTTGGCCCTGGAACTCTCCTCAAAAACCATAGGGTCTGTGGGGTTGTGAGCCTCCTCCTTTTCCTCTTGGGTTTCACTGTTCAAGCTGAATTCACTGTCACTTAGGAGTTCATTTGTCAGCACATCAGAGGGGTGGACTTCTGTGTAGATCTTCTCAGGAAACATTATATTTTTTAACTTCATTTTTTTTTGTGGGGGAGCAAATCCTTCTGTATCTGGTAAGACAGCTACACCCCTTTTCATGCGGACATACATGTAGTAAACTTTCATGATCCTTTCCTTTTCCACAGGTGCTGAGGATGTAGACAGTTTATTATCTAAATATGCTGGAAAATAATCAAGTGGAAATGGTGAGGAAGACTCTCGTCCTTCAAATTTTGTCTTAAAGGCATCTCATGGGATTCAAGAAATGGAGCACATGGATGTAGTTTATGACATTCTAGGAAAGAAAAATGTGAAGAACATCATTTTGTGTGGGCATGTAGGTACAGCAACAAGAAAGTGAATTTGTGGTGTGCCTTGTGGAGTTATACATGTGTTCTCATACATACTGGGTGAATGTTTCTGGTGCTGGTGAAAGGGGATAGTGATGACTGTGTGTGTGTATGTGTCTTATATGTTATGATAACACATATGGCAGGTGTATAGAGGACTTACGTGTCAGAGCAAGTGTGTATTGGTTATGAAGGGCTGAAGTCATGAATGATGAAAGGACAAGTGGGTGAGAAGGTCTGTATGTGAAAGTGCTTTCTTTATGGGACATCTGAATTTTCTACAGTTCTGCCTAGTGTTGGGGAGTTTCAACACACTATCTGTGTGAGGGGATGTTTTTATGGGATTATGTGAAAAGCAGTGAATCAGTGAATTGCCATATGCAGGAATAAGGGTTGTATGCAGGTGGAAGGCTGTGCCTATGTAATGTCAATAGAGGACAGTAAAGATAGACGGAGAAAGAAGACATGTTTGTCTGAGAGAATAAGCAAAAGGAAGGAGTAATGGGACCTGTGAAGGAGTACAACATGAGAATGTGGGAGCTTGAGGTTGTGTCAATCTGATCACTTCCCCTAACCCTTCTCAGCACTATCTACTGCTGCACCCTCAGCTGTCCCACTGTTCTCATGGAACTGTGAGAGAGGAACTGTATCTTGTTCTTTAAGGTGAGTTCCCACTATATCTTTTGTAGAGACCTCACTCTTACTTAGTCCCTCAGCCCCAACACCCTTTCCCATATTTGAGGGGAAGTGAAGTGAGTGGGGGATGGGTGATCAGATCAGCTGACCCTCCTGCCCAAACTTAAAGCCCATCTTTTATTTGCCTTACCATCCTTCTCAATAGGAGTGAGCTTGTTTGCAGAGGAGACGCAAGAGAAATAGACTGAGGCAGAGGAATTCTCTTCTGCCTCTGGATTCCATGCTGGGACCATAATAGGTTTCTTAGGAGTTGTCTCGTGAGGCATGTGGCATTCTGGAGAATAAAACCACAACAACAATAACGGAAGAATAGAGACATGCATAATCTGGGTCTGTGTCATTCAAAAGCAGACATACTGAGTGGGTATTTTGTTTGAGCCATTGTCATCTCATGGGCTTTCCTGTCACACAAATTGAGGTGACTTTTCCATTCAAAACTCCAAAATAAAAGTAAACAACACTTATTAATATCCAGGATGTAGTGGTTCACACCTGTAATCTCAGCTTCTTGGGGGGTAGACACAGGAGGATCATGAGATGGATGTAACCCAGACAATGTTAGTGAGACCCTATCTCAAAAACAAAAGGACTGGGGTATAGCTAAGTGATAGAGTGCTTCCTTAACATTCACAAGACCTGGGTTCAATCCCCATATGACATGCACAAAAAAGATGTTAGATTTGTGGATGTGGTGAACATCAGTGGGATAGGTATGTTGTACGTGCTGATTTTGAAGATATATACAGAAAATTAAAAACTGAACCCTACTTAAAAATATAATATGTAGTCACTATTATAAATTTAAGTTCATGAGAAATTGTGCAAATAAGGGATATGGAGTGCAAGTTTTATGAAGAATTATTTTGTATTGATATATTTATTTTTTTGCACACACACAGAGAAGTGTAGATGGAAATATGAGCAGATGATATCTAACCAGCCAGATAAACAGATATAAAGATAAAAATAAGGAACCGGGCATGATACTGTTAGGTGTTCCTATGAAGACTTCACAGACTGACCCAGATTCCTCTTCTGGAATTGTGCCTCCAAGTTTTTCTTGGATTTTTTTAACCTTCCTCTCCACATCCTTTAGGAGCCTTTTCCTAAGTGCATCTAGTGCACTTTGAGAAACAGATTCTAGAGCAAAGGGGTTGTTTGTGTTGGTTGCTGAGTAAAGGAGCTTGGTTCCAATTCTAGGCTGTCATTCTGTCTCAACTTTGCACCTAATTCCTCCTCAGCCCCATCTCTCCCCGACCCCATACCTTTATGAATGTGCTTGTCCATGGAAATGCATTCTGAGCTCCCTGTTGTCTGTCCACAGCCTTGGGCCAACCCTGAGGGTCCACATGATGGAGGGCATCCCTCTAAGATTATTGGAAAAGAGAAAGAAAATCAGATATGTGATTTTTTTTGCATCCAACAAATGCCATTACAATAATACTAATGACATTTGTCCTCATAAAAATTATATTCTTAACTGCTGTTCAAAGTTCCAAAATCTAGGTATACAAAAATATTTCTTAGTGATGTTTCTGGGTGAGTCACCTGAAAGTGGCATGTATTGTTTTTTGCAGTATATGAAGGTGACCATATCATTTGTCATGGCTATTTTTGTTGACCTGAAGAATAATTTGGTCTATGCATGTAGCAAAGTGCTTTGATTTGTTGCCTGTAGATTGGCATAGGACAGTCCAGTGCACTCTCAAAGTCAGAATTTGTTAGCTAGAGTTCTCTCACTTCCATTCCTTGCCAATACTATTCTCTTCCAAAGCTGTGATCCTGTGGCTTCCATGGCCAGGGCCCTGCAACACTGGAGCTTTATGAGAAGTGATCAGTTCTAGGCCTGGGTGGGAGATCCCACAGGGATCTCTGTGATCTGCTTCAGACAGCACTGTCCATTCTGGTCACAGCTTCCTTCTGGGTGCTTACCTAACACAGCTGACGCTTGGTCCTAAGTTTTTCATCTCTGCTCATCATACTTACAACTGGTCTTGCAACTTCTTAATTTGCATTTGAAATAATTGCTTTTTCATAGCATAATTTGGGTCTTTTTTATTTTTTTCTCTTTTATTTATTATTTATTTATTTATTTTTATTATTTTTTAAAATTTTATTATTCATATGTGCATACAAGGCTTGGGTCATTTCTCCCCCCTGCCCCCACCCCCCTCCCTTACCACCCACTCCCCGCCCCCTCCCTCTCCCCCCAACCCCCTCAATACCCAGCAGAAACTATTTTGCCCTTATTTCTAATTTTGTTGTAGAGAGCGTATAAGCAATAATAGGAAGGAACAAGGGTTTTTGCTGGTTGAGATAAGGATAGCTATACAGGGCATTGACTCACATTGATTTCCTGTGCGTGTGTGTTACCTTCTAGGTTAATTCTTTTTGATCTAACCTTTTCTCTAGTTCCTGGTCCTCTTTTCCTATTGGCCTCAGGTGCTTTTAAAGTATCTGCTTTAGTTTCTCTGCATTGAGGGCAACAAATTGCCATAGATTTAAATGTATCATGAAAATCCCAAGTTAGTTTTTCTTACTTTTTTTAAATCTTTGTTTCCAATGGGAAGAATCATATCTTTGAATTCACAAGAATGGTAAAATTCTAGTTCTTTATACAAATTAATTGATAAACACATTTGATCTTTCCCTTTGTTTGAAATCTTAGTTCAACAACCATACTTCTACATCTCAAAATACATTTAACTTGTTTTTGGGCCACTGAAGTATGTCTGGTATGTGATTTTGGTATGATGTTGAAATTGAGTGCATATGGTATAATTTTTACAGAGTATATCTTGTTTGTTGAATGTAGTCTGATGCATATACATATCTGTGTATATCTATAAACTTTCTGACATATTTTTAGTGAGTGTAGAGGTGAGATTGTCATTTTCTGTGATGATGATGTGAGTGTGTTGCCTGGGTGACATTATAGCATAGTTTTAAATATGTATAGGTTCTTCTTCTTCTATATATTATGTGATCTTTGTGTCATATAGAGTGAGGCTTCAGTACCTATATAAAAGCTACTTGGCTGACATGAAACAAAAGATTTTAGTAATTTTGTAAGACCTGCAGAGACAAAGTGTTAGAAACTGATTGTGTGACAGATAAGATGGAGATGATGTGGGCTTCTAGACTGTGGGATTACATGAAGGCACTAAGAAAATGAGAACAGAGAGGAGTTTGAGAAGGGATTAAGTGATTGCAATAGCTTTGTGCATTGTTAATTCAAGTAGCGGTCTATAAAAATGAACTGATTTGTGAGTTCAGAGCATTCCCTCACTCTCCATATGAAAGTAACCCAAATGTCCAGCAAACGTCTCCACGCATATGAAGTTACTTTCATTCATGCATTAACAAGAAAGAATGGACCATTCTTCTGTGTGATATGGATGAATTGCACAAGTGTAATGATGAATGAAAGAAATCTGACCGTATATTTTTCACTCAAATATGCAGTGAAAACCAGCAGCATTACTGACTCTAGGATCATTTAGAAGTCAGTATAGTTATTGCTGTTTGTATGTGAGGGATGAAAACTGAGTAAAGAAAATTCAAATGGAAGAGAGGATTATGAGGAAATGAAAGGTGAGTAAAGGGAGGGTCTTTGGGCAGCTGGGTCTTTGGGCAGGGGGTAAATGTCAGCATACTGGCAGTGAAGGCATGGATATAATGTGTTCTTGGTCTGAGAGTCTGTAATGTATCTCAAACCCAGCTGGGCTTTCACAGCTTCCCCACCTAATATGATCTTTCTTGACTCATACATATTGCTCCTATGTGTCTCTGGTAATACAGGAGTCATTTGGTATCTGTGTGTTTGTGGTTCCAAGGAGACCACCACTAAGGAAAACCACTCATGTTCAGGATACATAGACTTCATTGCTGTGCTGTAGATGCCTGATTCATTTTTCCCAAATGTTGTCGAACTTCCACCTAAAAACATGCATCTTTCAACAAATCTAAATTTCACTTGATCAATTAAGCACATACACTTTCACCTTGCTTTGTGGGCCCCATTTGCTTTTGAGGAGGCAGATTTTCACAAAATTAAGAACAAGAAAGCTCTCAGCAGTTCACACAACAATTTCAACACAACTGACAATCATGTGGGACTGACTGAGAGCTTCTCCTCACCCACCTGGCTGCGAGATGCATGGAAGAATTTAAATTTTTTTGGTTTTGAAATTTCTTTTGAGTTTTTTGACATTTATTTTTTACTGCATTTGGTCAAAACCATATTGTAATACATCTGTGATAAGGCGGGCTTGCTGTTCTTATCCCTGCAATCTCTCTCCCTCCATTTCCTAAACAGAACCTAGTCCTTCTTCACTTGATCCACATGCATTTTTCCTTGTGAATTCACTGCTTCCACTACTGATGTTATCTAAAAAAAATATGTGGAGGAATGTTTTGAGTTTCTTTTTGGACCGGGCAGCCTAGCATCAATGGACAGAAAGACCAACTCATCTCTGGGATGCCTAGACCTCAGTGTCCCTTTTCCTGTTCACTAGTCCTGCCATACCTGAACTGATGAACTTCTCATATGAGAAGCAGGAATAGTTGAGTGAGGAAGAAGTATCTTGTTCTTTCTGATCTCCAGTTGGGGCTCGTATCATTTGTGTATACTGCAGAATATTCTCTTGTAGATTGAAACTTCCTGATAAAGTAAGTAAAAGTAAGAGATATAGTTGTTATTGGGTGTCTATGTGCACTTTGTATATTCTTTTTTTTTTTTTTTTTGCAGTACTGGCTTGAACTCAGGGCTTACACCTTGAGCCACTCCACCAGCCTTTTTTTTAATGTTAGGTATTTTCAAGACAGGGTCTCAGGGTCTCAAAGCCAGGACTGGCTTTGAACAGTGATTCTCCTGATCTCTGCCTCCTGAGTAGCTAGGTGTGTATTATTCTTAAAAAAAATGGTAAAAGTCTACTATGATATATTCGGCCACATACATTGCCTCCATCCTCATAAAGAACATAATCTGGTGCCCACTATTACCATTTTAAATGTTGAGTAACATTTTTTGTGTCAGTATATGTTATGAATGAATGTATTTGCACAATGAGCCATTTGTACTGGAGTAGAGATTGCTAGCTATCCCCTTTTGATCTGGACATATGACTATTGTATGTAGCAAGCTTCCTGATCATGTTATTAAGTTTTCTGCATGGAAAATGAGTGAAATAATATGCCAGGAAAGGCTATATGTACCTCTTTCCCCATGCTCTTTTTCAGCTGACTGGGCTATTAATAAGCAAGATCTCTTTGAAACCTGTGTACTAATGGTCACAAGATTTCCTTCAGTCCAAGTCCATAAGTTATCTCAAGGACACTTGCCTCATTGATCTGATGTATGCTCTAATTGTTACTAAACTGAGAAGTAGATTTATCAGTATTCATTTCTATAGCCTGGTCAACTCTAATAAAGTTGGGGTGTGATATGTTTTTAAGAGGCAAATAATCTTACCTGCTGTACAGTAAGTAGACAATTACATTAAATGTCATATTATCTTCCCCTAGCCTACTTAAGTGTTTTATATGTGAATAGGAGAAATTAGTGCTTTGGATGCCTCGTAGTTTATACTCGATAGAATCTTTGAATATGTTCTAATTTTACTTAAGGTGAATTGAAGACAATATTGTAGGCCCCTCTCCAAAGGGACCATCAGAAAATGCACAAGTCCCAAACTTTGATAGAAATATTAGGTTATCTTCAGAAACATGAGCCACTATCTGGAATGTTGGAGTTGGCTCCATTCTGTCCCCCTCCCACCTCTCAGCAATGGGCCAACCTCACAGGAGTTACTTGTTTGCTATTAATCTCCATGGAAACTACAACTGCTACTTTTCCATAAGAGGCCAAATCTTATCTCCATAATTCAGCCACCATGATTAGATAATTGGTTGGTTTCATTTCACATAGGAGTCTCACATTTATATCTTCATTCTTAAAAAAAAGTTAGGTTTTACTCTGGAGTAAATGAATTTTTATTACTTTATGCTTATTCTCGTCTCTACACAGTTCTAAATGTTTTGAGTCTTTTCATCAATGTTTCTATAAACCACACTTCCTTTCTTCCAGGATGCTGCACTTGCTATGCAAGTGCTCTACCACTAGAGCCATACCCCCAGTGAACCACATTTTCTTCTTCATTAAAAGCAAAAAGTGCTATTAGAAAATTTATAAGAATATAATTTACTTCCTCTTGCCCTTAGGTAGAAGTCATATGAAAGGAAATGCTTTTAAAAAAAAAAAGTTTGAAGAAAAATTATTCTAGACTAACCACTACTGTGTCTATGACAGAGTAATTTAGAATAATTATGTGTAGACAGCCTAGGAACTAAGTCACAGAGATAAGACCTGGGTCATCTGAACCTTTTCTCTCAGACTACTAGGGCCCACAGGAAGACCAGTATATACACTTTGTCTCTGTCCCTTCTTCCTTTAGTCATTCCTCTCTCTTTTAATCCTTCTCTCCCCCCTCCTTCACCACAAACTATAAATCTTTGTTTGTTAGGAGGCAGTTCCTGGGCACACTATGCCCAGAGAACATGCAGGCACATACCTCTTGGCTTCTTTGCTCTTTGTGGAGTTTGAGGAGAGGACCTCTTTTCCAGATGTTTCCTCTTTTGTTTCTGCTTCATGGTTCAACTGATTGGAGAGTTACTCAAGTCAGGTAATTGAAACTGTACTTTAAGAAAGGTAGTAAAAAACTTCAAATTATGAAATTTGGATAATCAAGACAACAAATCACATGAGAAACTATCCCTTCACCCTGTCCTGACTAGTGCTCAGGACAAAATCAGCGTCATCATGCCTGCGGTTATCTCTAAGGCCTCAGCAGATTCTAGACTATTATGACATCACTACAGTCCATGGACCAGGCCAGTGCTCACAGCACTGCAGGGAGGAGGGTAAACCCTGCAGGGGTTGTGAAGCTAAGGGTTATCTCCTTTCAATAAATGGGAAAGTGATGAGGAAAAGAGACAAAGAATCTTCTTTTATCCAAATGAAATTCTATTATTAACTTGAACTTTATATCTTGTGCTTGATACCAAAACTAGAAAATAGATTGCATGCATTAAACAGAAGAAATTGTTTTATGAATCAAGGGATACCACAGCACTAAAATATCCCCAATAGTAAGGATGTGGTGTATCAGGAATATAGGCTTACAACCATGCTCGTAGAAGGTAATAGATGTTACATCTTATTAGCACTATTACACTACGTAGAAACATGTGAGCTGCATTGTGTAATATAGTGGAGATTTGAGAATATGTCATAAATCCATACAACTCTAGCCCTTATTAGATTCCCCTGCTGCTGGAACAGTCCCATGTATGTTCAATACC